GCCTGGGAAGGTGCTGAGTGGGTGTTGGGATGCCCCAAGAGTGCTGTCGGCCTCCACGGGCCGGGGATGGATGCTGTGTGCGTAGATGTCTTTTCAAGGAGCGCAGGAAACCCATCTGTGGTCCTGGAGTGGATCGGGAGGCTCTGCCTGACCGCACTGTCTCCTCCTCGGCTTATGCAGACGAAGGAGCCTCGTCCCTTTCACTTAGCAGCTCTTCAATAGCCGCCACAACAGCCAAGGTGAAGAAGCAGCTCCTGACGGTAGTGGTGGAAAATGATGAATGGCGTGTCAACAACAAGTACGACCGCTCCCGCACTCCCCGCCCCGTGGAGGAGATCATCCGGCGTGCTGAGCAATTGGTTGGCAAGGAGGTGTCATATAATGTGCTTTTCAGCAACTGTGAGCACTTTGTGACAGAGCTCCGATACGGAGATGGAGTCTCCGACCAGGTGAGTGTCCCGGGGTGAGCCCCTGGTGCCTCCCAGAGCCCCTCCTGGCTGCTGGCTGTGAGCTGGGCACTGGGACACAGCCTGCAGCCTGCATGGGGACAGCCCAGTGCCAGGCGTGGGCTCCAAAGCAGCGCTGCCTCCCCAGAGCCCCTGGGCCTGGAGGGTCCCTGTGCTCTGCCTGCAGCCTGCCAGTGCCCTCTGACTGAGTGCCACCTCCTGGGGGCACAAACCTGCCTGTTACCCCTTCTGATAATGGGACACAATAAATCAGTGATTATTCTGCAAATAGTCACTGATTTATTTACCCTGAGTATCCCTGCCTTATCTTCATTATCAAGCTAGGGGGTTGTAAATATGAGTGCTCCTTATGTTTCCAGCCAATGTTTTTCTTACCCTTTTATAGGCCTTAAATGTAATATTTGGCGCTAATAGAGGTGTGATCGGAAATGCTCTACTTGCTGTTGCTGATGCTGTTGGGATAACATCGGTCATGAGCAAACCCATGACATAGTGCTACTGATGGCTGTCAGGCAGAGCTCCGAGCAGGGCAGGAGGATCTTCTGGAAGCTGCGGTCACTGCTCAGCTCTTGCTACTCGTGCCAGCAAGGGTTTCTAGCAAATGTGCCACCCTTCCTGTAAACATTAAATAATCTTTAATTAAATGCCTGAAATCTAAACTCATTTTTCCCTGAAATTCTCTTTTATTTATTTGAATATAGTGTTGTTTGAAAGTTT